GCACACCCATGTTTCTGCCTATAATATTGCCCCCCGTACGTGAAGTAGGTTGACTCCAGGCACAGTTTGAGGAGGTAACCATTAGTAGCCTAGCTGTACACTCAATAATTAACGTATGCAAAATTCACAAACTTTAATAGTYCAAATAGATCATTATAGTTTCTTTAAGAAGAGTAACAGTTATGTGGATATTTGATAGCCTATAAATAGCGTGGGAATTTCTGCACTTCACGAACAATTTTTTAGCTAACAAATTAACAAAAGAAAACGATAAAAGAGATGAGAAAGTGTTAGGATGAATACATAACTAAGTGAATAAATAATTACTAAATAACTTAGTAAATAAAACTAACATTACTGTACAAGTTATAAGCCAGGCCCTAGTTCTAGTCAAAAATCTGTGGAGATGTGTTAGCCAATTGTGTTAGCATTTGCTTTTAGCTCCATCTATCCATCCATTCTTTGTTTTTACCCGTTTTTTCCCTTCTGGGCCTTGGATGCCACTGTTGACAGCAGCCAGTGTTACCTACATTCACACTTAATTTGAGCAAAGCATTTGTAAAATTGACTAAAATGCCATTTTGGTTTATGCTAAGCCTAAGGTCAATTAGCATGGGCGGCCATCTTGGAAACGATTAAAACCTGAAGCATAGATATTTTAACAGACTGACAAACGAACACAGATAATCACAAACAAGCAATTACACTAATGATAGCCTTTAATGCTGTAGGGTTTTGATAAATAAACATATAAATACATACCAGTGAACTCCTCCGGGCCATCGGGGGGCGCAGCTGTGCAAACAGTGACTTGGCGCGCGCCGCGCAGCTCTCAAACAAAATGGCGACGGAGAACGGCTCCGAGTCTCAAGATGAAAAAGATCCTCTCATGCAAACAAACCCCGACGAAAATAACTATCATCAGAGTGTTACAGTCGCGAAAAAACGCGAACCAGAGCTAAAGCTTTACCACTGGACGCAGAGTTTCAATTCTCAGAAGGTAAGGAGGCGCCCCCGGGTCTCAGCACCACAACTCGATGGACAGCTCCCCACAGAGGTTCAACCACACAACAGTCACTGCATTGATTTTTACCTTACATAACACAAAACAACACATTTTATTCACACATGTGCTAACAGAACAGTTTATTTAGCTTAATCCAAAAACAGTTTACATTTATATTTCTATAATTGTTGCTGTTTATGTGTTTATATGAAATGTGTGAAGGGAAGCAAATTAAGAGTCTGCATTTCTTCTAACACTGATGTTTCATCAGGTTCGCCTGGCTGTAGCAGAGAAGGGTTTGCGCTGTGAGGAGTATGATGTGAGCCTTCCTCTCAGTGAGCACAACGAGCCATGGTTCATGAGACTGAATCCTGCAGGCGAGGTGCCGGTCCTGGTCCACAAGGACAACGTCCTGTGTGACCCCACGCACATAATGGACTACCTGGAGGAGAACTTTAATGACGGTGAGGACGGATAAAACAGGGACAGCGAAAGTGAAATAACATCATAGGTTAACTGAAGCGTTTGTCTTTTTTGATTTCATTGTGTTTTTTTACGTTTTCTTGTTTGGTTGAGCTTTTTAAACTGCATGTATAATCATTTGTTTTTAATGTTTTCTTGGTTTGCATTAATCCATGATATGTTAAGAGTCTGCTCCACAAAGAAAGAAAATCTGGTAAGCACAAAGCTATTTGACAGGAGCTTTATTTAATCACTTTGAAACATTTTATCTTTATTAGATTKTTTCCGATTTAAACTCTTTTGTCCGTGACATGGATCTCCTATGTAAACGTTTTTAAAATAAAGATAAAAAGCTCATTTTCTCAGCCTGTGTGTCTCCAGAGGGCACTCCCAGACTGGTCCCTGAAGAAGGCAGCAGGTATTACCTCAGAGTGCAGCACTACAGAGAGCTGCTGGACTCGCTGCCGATGGATGCCTACACACACGGCTGTATCCTGCATCCCGAGATCACCGTGGACTCCCACATACCAGCGTACGCCGCCACGTCTATACGAGGTGAGACTGTCCCAGATGCAAATTATCATCAGTTTTGTTTTTTGTTTTTTTGCAGCAGAAACTACGTCATATATTTTATACTTTGTTATGATTTTTTTTTGACAGCACAGATTGGAAGCACACAGTCCGAGCTGGAAAGACTGGCTGAGCAGAACCCAGACCTGAAAGATGCTTATAAAGCTAAACAGAGGCGCTTAAAGGTGAGCTCGAACATTACATCACAATGAAGCATGTGTTTGAGATCCGTTGCACTTAGTAATTCAATTGGATTGTTATTTTTTTGCTTTGTTTTTGCTTCTATGTTAAAGAGTTAAACAGCATTAAGAGTTTTAAAATGACTGAGAAGTCCCCTAACTGCTGCTACAGATAACATTGTTTTCAAATTGCCTAAACAATGTCATTTGTAGCTCATGCACAATATTCTCTTGCTACTGCATGCACTATACACACACACACACACACACACACACACACACACACA